AATGGGATGCTTCAAAAACACCCAAACCCACCCATTCTTCTAAGTTGGGCCATGAGGGGCCTGCGTGCCATGTTTGGCCTAGACCTGTCACGTGGGAACGTGTTCCCACAAGGAGCCTTGTGGGAACAAACACACCTCCAGGTAGGGATGCCTGCTTAGAACTGGGGCTGAGTCTCAAATGTGGTGCTTCAAAAACACCCAAACCCACCCATTCTTCTATGTTGGGTCATGAGGGGCCTGCGTGCCAGGCCCAGATCCGTCACGTGAGGAAGGAGCTTTGCGGGAACAAACAAACAAACACCCCCCTCCGGAGAGGGATGCCTGTTTAGAACTGGGGCTGAATCTCAAATGTGGTGTTTTAAAAACACCCAAACCCTCCTATTCCTCTAAGTTGGGACATGAGGGTCCTGTTTGCCAGGTTTGGCCCAGATCTGTCACGCGAGGAAGGACCCTTGCGGGAACAAACGAACAAACAAGCACTCCTCCCAGAGAGGGATGCCTGTTGAGAACTGGGGCTGAGTCTCAAACGGGGTGTCTCAAAAACACTGAAACCCACCCATTCTTCTAAGTTGGGCCATGAGGTGTCTGCGTGCCACGTTTGGCACAGACCCGTCATGTGAGGAAGGAGCCTTGCGGGAACAAACTGTCAGAGTATTGAAGCTTTGCCAGCGGAAGGATTGCTAGATCAGCAGACACTGTGTTCAAAAGGGACTCTGCAGACTTTCAGTTACAACAGAAAACTACGTTTTACTAAGTACATCTATACACGTCTATTCCCAGCAAGAAACAGATAGTTACTACAAGGCACAAACAACAGCCTCTGAACATCTGCTTATCTAACTTCTGACTGAGACCAGATCCTCCCTCTTCTTCCCAGCCAGAGAACACGTTATTTCGTTTCTGTCAAGGTTACAGTTTCACAGCCTCAGCACTAGGTTTTCTTAATACACAAAAGAGCAGAATAGAATCCATCTTGAAATACATCTTAATCCATCTTGAATTACATAGAAACATATTGAAAAACACACATGCATAACTAAATAATCCTGACACAAACAAACAAGCACCTGTCCAGAGAGGAATGCCTGCTTAGAGTTGGGGCTAAGTCTCAAATGTGGTGCTTCAAAAACACCCAAACACTCCTATTCCTCTAAGTTGGGCCATGAGTGGCCTGCGTGCCAGGTTTGGCCCAGACCCGTCACGTGAGGAAGGATGCTTGCGGGAACAAACAAACAAACAAGCACACCTCCAGGTAGGGATGCCTGCTTAGTCTCAAATGGGGTGTCTCAAAAACACCCAAACCCACCCATTCTTCTAAGTTGGGCCATGAGGGGCTTGTATGCCTTGTTTGGCCCAGACCGGTCACGTGAGGAAGGGGCCTTGCGGGAACAAACAAACAAACAAGGACCTTGCTAAAAGAATGTAATGTACAGGTGGTCTTTTCATCCCTCCTCCCTGTTGTAAGACACAGACCCACAAGAGCCAGAAAAATAGTACAGGTCAATGACTGGCTTAGAAAATGGTGTCAGGAGGAACGCTTTGGCTTCCTTGACCATGCCCTGCTTTTCCAGGAGGATGGCCTACTGGCAAGGGATGGGGTGCATCTCACACAAGTAGGAAAACACCTTTTTGCTCACAGACTCGCAAACCTCATTAGACGCACTTTAAACTAGGTCCACCGGGGGAGGGGACAACAGCCTTGCGAACACTACTTTACCCACAATGTCAGGGAACCGCCAGAAGGCTAAACGGAGGGCTGCACAAACACAAGGACCAAGTACCAAAAGCACAATAATCCCAATTAAACAGCTCAAGGGAAGATCTCAGGGGCTCACATGTCTTTACACTAATGCACAGAGCATGGGAAATAAACAAGACGAACTCCAACTTTTAGCACAACACCACAAATATGATATCATAGCCATCACTGAAACCTGGTGGGATGACTCCTATCGCTGGAATGTAGATATCGAGGGGTATAACCTCTTTCACAGAAACCGAACAAAGGGGAGAGGAGGCGGAGTAGCCTTATATGTCAAAAACTCTTATGCTGCAGAAGAGATGCAAGACAGCAATCTGGGAAACCAGCTTGAAATCATCTGGATAAGAATCAAGGGAACTGGGACTCAAAAAGATGTCGTTGTAGGCATCTACTACAGACCTCCAAGCCAGGAGGAAGAACTTGATGAAGTCTTCTGCCAACAGTTGACCAAATAGGCACAGAGAAGAGATGTAGTAGTCATGGGCGATTTCAACTATCCCGATATTTGCTGGAAAACAAACTCGGCCAAGAGTACAAGGTCCAACAAATTCCTCGCTTGCCTTGCAGACAATTTCATGGTCCAGAAGGTAGAAGAGGCAACAAGGGGATTGGCTACTCTTGATCTCATTCTAACAAATGCGGAGGACCTGATCGATGCGGTCGAAGTGGTAGGATCCTTAGGGGCAAGTGACCATGTGCTCCTGCAATTTGAGGTACAAAGGAAGGCCGAAACTAAGACAAGTCAAACCTACATTTTGGACTTTAGGAGAGCTGATTTCCAAAAAATGAAGGAAACGCTGAGCAGCATTCCGTGGACACAGATACTAAAAGACAAGGGAGTTACGGATGGATGGGAATTTCTCAAGAGTGAAATACTCAAGGCGCAATTGCAAACCGTGCCAACAAAGAGAAAAAAAATAGGACAAGTGCAAAGAAGCCAGAATGGATGTCCAAAGAACTTCTAACTGTGCTAAGACACAAAAGAGACATGCACAAGAAGTGGAAAAAGGGAGAAATCACCAAAGAAGAATTCAAACAAATAGCCAACACCTGTAGGGAAAAGGTCCGCAAGGCTAAAGCAAAAAACGAGCTCAGACTTGCCAGGGACATTAAAAACAATAAAAAGGGCTTCTATTCTTATGTCAGTAGAAAAAGGAAAAACAAGGAGGCGATAGGAGCTCTTCGCGGAGAAGATGGGGCAATGCTGACAGGGGATAGGGAAAAGGCAGAACTACTTAATGCCTTCTTTGCCTCGGTCTTCTCACAAAAAGAGAGTCTTCAACCTCAGCAAGTGGTCCCAATCTTCAAGAAGGGAAAAAAGGATGACCCAAACAACTACCGTCTGGTCAGCTTCACGTCGATACCGGGCAAGATTCTGGAAAAGATTGTTAAGGAAGAGGTCTGCAAACACTTAGAAACAAATGCGGTCATCGCTAATAGTCAACATGGATTTATCAAAAACAAGTCATGCCAGACTATCTGATCTCTTTTTTCGATAGAGTTACAAGCTGGGTAGATGCGGGGAATGCCGTGGATGTAGCATACCTGGATTTCAGGAAGGCCTTCTTTGACAAGGTCCCCCATGACCTTCTGGCAAGGAAACTAGTCCAATGTGGGCGAGGCAAAACTACGGTGAGGTGGATCTGGAATTGGTTAAATGGACGAACCCAGAGGGTGATTCTCCCCAAGGCTTCCTCCTCTTCATCCTGGAAAGAAGGGACGAGCGGAGGGCCATCAGGAGGGTTCCGTCCTGGGCCCGGTCCTGATCAGGATCTTCTTTCATAGATGAAGGGCTAGAAGGCAAGATCATCAAGTTTGCAGACGGGACCAAATGGGGAGGGAGAGCCAAGACTCCATAAGGACAGGAGCAGGGCTCAAAGGGATCTTGACAGATGAGAGAGATTAAGGGCCAAAACGAACAAAATGAAGTTCAACAGGGACAAATGCAAGAGACTCCACTTTGGCAGGAAAAATGAAATGCAAAGATACAGAATGGGGGGCAATGCCTGGCTCGAGAGCAGTACGTGTGAAAAAGATCTTGGAGTCCTCGTGGACAACAAGTTAAACATGAGCCAGGAATGTGATGTGGCGGCAAAAAAAGCCAATGGGATTTTGGCCTGCATCAAGAGGAGCCTAGTGTCCAGATCCAGGGAAGTAATGCTCCCCATGCTCTATTCCGCTTTGGTTAGACCACTACCTGGAATATTGTGTCCAATTCTGGGCACCACAATTCAAGAGAGATATTGTGTCCAGAGGAGGGCGACTAAAATGATCAAGGGTCTGGAGAACAAGCCCTATGAGGAGCAGCTTAAAGAGCTGGGCAGTTTAGCCTGAAGAAGAGAAGGCTGAGAGGAGATATGATAGCCATGTATAAATATGTGAGAGGAAGCCACAGGGAGGAGGGAGCAAGCTTGTTTTCTGCTTCCTTGGAGACTAGGACGCAAGGGAAGAATGGCTTCAAACTACAAGAAAGGAGATTCCATCTGAACATGAGGAAGAACTTCCTGACTGTGAGAGTCGTTCAGCAGTGGAACTCTCTGCCCCGAAGGGAGTGTGGTGGAGGCTCCTTCTTTGGAAGCTTTTAAGCAGAGGCTGGATGGCCATCTGTCAGGGGTGATTTGAATGCAATATTCCTGCTTCTTGGCAGAATGGGGGTGGACTGGATGACGGCCCAGGAGGTCTCTTCCAACTCTTTGATTCTATGATTCTATGATTCTAACTGGGCTGAGTCTCAAATGGGGTGTCTCAAAAACACCCAAACCCACCCATTCTTCTAAGTTTGGCCATGGGGGATCTGTGTGCCAGGTTTGGCCCAGACCCGTCACGTGAGGAAGGATCCTTGCGGGAACAACCAAACAAACAAACAAGCCCCCCCCCCTCAGAGGGGGATGCCTGCTTAGAACTGGGCTGAGTCTCAAATGGGATGCTTCAAAAGCACCCAAACCCACCCATTCTTCTAAGTTGGGCCATGAGGTGTCTGCGTGCCAGGTTTGGCCCAGACTCGTCACGTGAGGAAGGATCCTTGAGGGAACAAACAAACAAACAAATCTTCAGAGAAGCTTAAGAGCTGTCGGCGCATGCGCGGGCTGGTCTAAGCCTAGCCGTGGCGGCCCCCTGGCGGCCTTTGCGGAGCAGTGAGGCACCCTCCCTTCTCCCTCCCTCAATCCTTCCGGCTGCTGCGGGCTAAGAACTACATCCCCCACAAGCCCTTTCGGCTGGCTTCCTGTCCCCGCCGGAAGTCTCTGTGTTGAGAGGACGGGCGAGGCGAGGTTGCCGGGCAACACTGGAGGCCGAAGAAGAAGCGATGGGCCGCGCTTCCGCGGTGAGTCCTTCTTTCCTTCCTTCGCTTCTCGTCTCTCCTCTCTCCCTGCGGCGCCCGCTCTAGCCGTGTCCTCTCGCTCGTTCTCCCCCCTCAGGTCCGCGGGACCGGAAGCAGCAGCGCCCAGAGCAAGAGGTCGGCGGCCGGAAGGGGCTACCGAGAGGACCGCTTCGTGGAGCTGCTGCTGAGGGCGCCCCCTGGTGGCAGGGCCCCGCGCCGCGCCCCGGCCATCCACCGGTGAGGGGGACGGAGCATGCGCAGATCGGGAAGCGCCTCCCCTTCCTCTCCACTCTCCCACTCACTCTCTCTCTGTCTCCCCCTCCCTCAGGGGCTACCATGTCCGCGCCTGCGCAGTCGAGCACTGCCTCCGGGGATTCCTGCGCCGAAGCGAGGGCCTCCCACACAGGCAGGTGAGGCAGCGGGGGGCGGAGCCACGCATGCGCAATGTCAGAAACAGTATTATATGTAGGTTCTTGTGGGTTTTTTTGGGCTATAGGGCCATGTTCTAGAGGCATTTTCTCCTGACGTTTCGCCTGCATCTATGGCAAGCATCCTCAGAGGTTGTGAGGTCTGTTGGAAATAGGAAAATGGAAATAGGAAAATATATCTGTGGAATCAGGGTGGGGCAAAGAGCTCTTCTCTGCTGCAGTTAGGTGTGAATGTTTCAACTGACCACCTTCATTAGCATTTGAAGGCTTGGCTGAGCCTGGGAAAATCTGTTGCTGGGAGGTGTTAATCTGTGCCTGGTTGTTTCCTCTCTGCTGTTTTGCTGTTGTAATTTTAGAGTTTTTTAATACTGGTAGCCAGATTTTGTTCATTTTCATGGTTTCCTCCTTTCTGTTGAAATTGTCCACATGCTTGTGGATTTCAATGGCTTCTCTGTGTAGTCTGACATGGTGGTTGTGGGAGTGGTCCAGCATTTCTGTGTTCTCAAATGATATGCTGTGTCCAGGCTGGTCCATCAGGTGCTCTGCTCTGGCTGACTTCTCTGGTTGAAGGAGTCTGCAGTGCCTTTCATGTTCCTTGATTCGTGTCTGGGCAATGCTGCGTTTGGTAGACAATTTCAACAGAAAGGAAGAGACCATGAAAATGAACAAAATCTGGCTACCAGTATTAAAAAACTCTAAAATTACAACAGCAAAACAACAGAGAGGAAACAACCAGGCACAGATTAACACCTCCCAGCAAGAGATTTTCCCAGGCTCAGCCAGGCCTTCAAATGCTAATGAAGGTGGTCAGTTGAAACATTCACACCTAGCTCCAGCAGAGAAGAGCTCTTTGCCCCACCCCAGCCATTACACAGATACATAAACAATTTCTTGCTGTACAGTTACAAAGCCATATTGGGCTCACTACACACTACATCAAGGACTCAGCCCACTTCATAGAAAAAATCAGCAATCTCAAGCTAAATACCAACGACAAACTGATCAGCTTCGATGTGGTATCTCTATTTACCATGGTCCTGGTAGCAGACACCATGGCACTCATCAACCAGAGGTTCCCAGAAGACATCACGGCTCTGTTTCACCATTGCCTCACCACCAGTTACTTTCAGTGGGACAATGAATTCTACGAACAGAAAGATGGAGTAGCTATGGGGAGCCCTCTCAGCCCGGTCATAGCTAACTTCTACATGGAACACTTTGAAGAACAAGCCCTGGAGACAGCAACCAAAAAGCCCACGGTATGGTTCAGATATGTGGATGACACCTTCACCATTTGGAGCCATGGAGAAGAAGAACTCAACAGGTTCCTGGACCATCTTAACAGCATCCACCCAAACATCCAGTTCACCATGGAAAAAGAAAATGAAGGAAGACTGCCTTTTCTAGATGTCCTCGTCATCCGCAAACCAGATCAACAATTGGGTCACACCGTCTACAGAAAACCCACACACACAGATAGATATCTACATAAAAACTCCAACCATCACCCAAGTCAAAAAAGAAGCACCATTAAAGCCTTGGCAGACCGTGCAAAAAGAATCTGCGAAGCCCACCTCCTCCAAGATGAACTGAACCACCTCAACTGGGCTCTCCAGGCCAAGGGAGACTCCACCTCAGACATCAGAAGAGCTGCAAGACCAAGAGAAGCCACGAGAGTCAAGATGAAGATCCACCCAGAGGGAAAGTGTTCCTGCCAGACATCAAGGGAACCACTGACCGCAGAGGGAAGCTGATGAGGAAACACAACATACAAACAACCTACAAACCCACCAAGAAAATCCAACAAATGCTACGTTCAGCAAAGGACAAGAGGGATCCTCTCACCTCTGCAGGAGTCTACCGTGTACCATGCAGCTGTGGACAAGTCTACATAGGGACCACCAAACGCAGCATTGCCCAAACACGAATCAAGGAACATGAAAGGCACTGCAGACTCCTTCAACCAGAGAAGTCAGCCATAGCAGAGCACATGAGGAACCAACCTGGACACAGCATATTATTTGAGAACACAGAAATGCTGGACCACTCTCACCACCACCATGTCAGACTACACAGAGAAGCCATTGAAATCCACAAGAAGCATGTGGACAATTTCAACAGAAAGGAGGAGACCATGAAAATGAACAAAATCTGGCTACCAGTATTAAAAAACTCTAAAATTATAACAGCTAAACAACAGAGAAGAAAAAACCAGGCACAGATTAACACCTCCCAGCAACAGATTTTCCCAGGCTCAGGCAGGCCTTCAAATGCTAATGAAGGTGATCAGCTAAACATTCACACCTAACTGCAGCAGGGAAGAGCTCCTTGCCCCACCCCAGCCATTCCACAGATATATAAACCCATTTTTCCTACTTCCAACAGACCTCACTACCTCTGAGGATGCTTGCCATAGATGCAGGCGAAACGTCAGGAGAAATGCCTCTAGAACATGGCCTATAGCCCAAAAAACCCACAAGAACCTAGTGATTCCAGCCATGAAAGCCTTCGACAATACAGTATTATATGCTTAAATAATGCTTAAAATAATATTATATGTTTAAATATATATTTAAAAAATTTAAAACATATTTAAATAATTTTAAAATATATAGTTAAATAATTTTAAAAATAATATGTTTAAATAATGCTTAACACAAGATTAAATGTTTAAATATATTTTAAAAATAATATATATTTAAATAATTTTAATATATTTGTATGGTTAAATATTATTTAAAACATTATATATTTAAATAATTTAAAAATATATAGTTAAATAATTTTAAAAGTAATATATTTAAATAATACTTAAAATAATATTATGTTTTAATATTTTAATAAATAATATGTATTTAAATAATATATATATATAGCTAAATAATATTTAAAACATATATTTAAATAATTTTAAAAATAATATCTTTAAATAATGCTTAAAACAATATTATATCTTTAAATATTTTTAAAATAATATATATTTAAATAATTAAAATATATAGGTAAATAATTTAAAAAAATAATATGTTTAAATAATGCTTAACACAATATTAAATGTTTAAATATATTTTAAAAATAATATATATTTAAATAATTTTAATATATTTATATGGTTAAATAATACTTAAAACATTATATATTTAAATAATTTAAAAATATATAGTTAAATAATTTAAAAAATAATATGTTTAAATAATGCTTAAGATAATATTATATGGTTAAATATTTTTAAAACAATATATTTAAATATATTAATTATATATATATATATATAGTTAAATAATATTTTAAACCTATATTTAAACAATTTAAAAATATATAGTTAAATAATGTTTATAATAATATCTTTAAATAATGCTTAAAATAATGTTTTAAAAATAATATCTATTTAAATAATTTATATATATATATATAGTTAAATAATATTTTAAACATTAAATATTTAAATAATTTAAAATACATAGTTAACTAATTTAAAAATAATACGTTTAAATAATGTTTAAAATAATATATGTTTAAATATTTTAAAAATAATTTATATTAAATAATATATATATTATTTTATTTTAAAAATTATTTAACTATATACTTTTTATTTAAATATATGTTTTAAATATTATTTAACTGTAGAGTTAAATAATATTTAAAACATATATTTAAATAAAAAAGTGTATAGTTAAATAATTTTTAAAATAAAATAATGCTAAAAATAATATGTTTTAAATATTTTTAAATATAATGTGTATTTAAATCATTTTAGTATGTATAAAGATAAATAATATTTAAAACATATATTTAAATAAATTTTATATATATAGTTAAATAATTTTTAAAATAATATGTTTAAATAATGCTTAAAATAATATTATATGTTTAAATATTTTTAAAATAATATATTTAAATATTTGCATCATATATTGGTACTTAAATAATTTAAAAATATATAGTTATATAATTTTAAAAATAATATGTTTAAATAAGGCTTAAAATAATATATGTTTAAATAATGCTTAAAATAATATTAAATGTTTAAATATAGTTTAAAATAATATTTATTTCAATAATTTTAATATATATATGGTTAAATAATATTTAAAACATGTATTTAATTAATTTAAATATATATAGTTAAATAATTTTTAAAAATAATATGTTTAAATAATGCTTAAAATAATATATGTTTAAATATTTTAAATATATATAGTTTAATAAGATTTAAAACATATTTATATAATGCTTAAAATAATATGTGTTCAAAGTTTTAACAAAACTTTCAAATTTCATTATTATTTCATTATTGGTGATTTTTATGACAGAACCAATTAGGAACTGCCATTTATAACAAAATTTTGAAAGTTTTGTTAGAGTTCTAAAATTTTCACCACCAGAACTTTAGGTTTGTGAGTACTTTAGAACCATTTAGAACTATGGATTCCCTATGCCTAGTACATATACTAGGCAAATATTCAGTGCCATAGACACAAAACATATATAGAAAGACACACAGAGGCTATTTAACATTCCAGCTTTTTTCCGTGAGAGTATTCTGGCCACCGGGGGAGCTGTTGCTTCACCATCCATTTGTGACACTGATGAAGTACTTCCTCATTCTTTGCATGCTTGCTGGAGATTTTTATGGTGTCATAAATTGAGTTAAATTGGCCCCGCCTGCCCTTCTCCCCGCAGGTGCTCTCCCTGGGGGCAGGCATGGACTCGCTCTTCTTCCGGGCCAAGGACGAGGGGCTTCTGCCCCGGACCCGGTTCTTCGAGGTGGACTTCCCGGAGGTCATGGCCCACAAAGCGGCCCTCGTGTCTCGGACAGAGGGGCTGGCTGCCGTGGCTGGGAGTGGCACTTCTACACAGGACTCGGGTGAGGATACAATCCTGGAAGGCACTCCACAAAGGACCTCTTGGCAAAAGAAGTCTGGGGACATGCGTTCGGTTAGATTGGCCAGGCCCTCCTGCACTGCCCCCTTCCCTCTTATTCTGTGCTGCATTCCCACTCCCACACCCTCTACCCCCCCTCTCCCCCCCCCCAAACTTGAGCCCCGGTTTCTCTTCTGCAGAGGCCGTTAAGTTTTGGGGAGAGGACTACAGGCTTCTGGGGGCGGACCTTGCGGAGCTGCCGCAGCTGGAGGAGGCGTTGCTGGAGGGCGGCCTGGACCCTGGAGTCCCGACGCTGATCCTGGCAGAGGTTGTGCTCACCTACATGGAGACAGAGAGGTCTGTGGCACGTGGGTCGTTGTAGGAGGAAGGCTTTGGCCACTCTCGAGGCCCATTGCCTTTCTCTGAGGAGGGAAGGATATGCTTTAGGATTGATACCCTGCAGAGTGGGTCTGAAAGAGTGGACGGAGTGGCCCTTTGTGGAAGTCCTGGCCCTTCTCCCCCAAAGCTGGAAGTCCCACAGAAATCCTGGGTGGTCTTGGGCCGGTCACTCTCTCTCAACCCCACAGCTCAGCCTCAGACAGCTGACTCAAAGGGTCCCGGGTAGCCCTTCATTTTATTTACAGTGACTGGATTGACCTTGAGGGAGCTGGGGGTGGTGATGGCCGACAGAGAGCTCTGGCGTGGGCTGGTCCATGAGGTCACAAAGAGTCGGAGATGACTGAATGAATGAACAAGAACATATTCCGCCCTTCTCACCCCACAACAATATACATATACATGGCAAACATTCGATGCCATAAATACGACATATTTATTTATTTATTTATTTATTTGACTTGTATACCGCCACTCCCAATTTGGCTCTGAGTGGTTTACAGAATAGATTAAAACAATAGAATTAGCTTTAAAATAACAATAAAAAGCGACAACAGACATAGACAGACAGTCAGAGGCTATTTAACATTCCAGCTTTTTCTGGCCACAAGGGGAGCTGTTGCTTCACTGTCCATCTGTAACACTGATAAAGTACTTCCGCATTCCCCGCATGCTTGCTGGAGATTTTTATGGCGTCGTAAATTAGTTAAATTAGCCTCCCCACACATAAGTGGTACCTAAATTTCCTACTTGACAGATGCAACTGTCTTTCGCGCTGCAACGGTTGACAACAAACTACACAAAATGGTCGGAAGCTCAGTCCGACCCGGGCTGGCTTTGAACTCATGACCTTTTGGTCAGTAGTGATCTGTATGCAGCTGAGTCCCAGTTCATGTCGCTCTCCTGCTCCCTTTGGGCTTCCAAGGTTTCCAAGGTCTTGGGCTGCTCCACTCACTGACCTCTTGGCGCCCTCCAGGTCCGACGCCTTGATCCGCTGGGCGGCCGGCTTCTTACCTCAGGCCTGGTTCGTCCTGTACGAGCAGATCCACCCGGGAGACCCGTTTGGACACGTCATGCAGCAGCACTTCCGCCGGCTAAGGTCCCCCCTCCGCTCCCTCGACCGCTACTCGGACTGCGAGGCCCAGCGGCTGCGCTTCCTCCAGCGGGTGGGTGAGGGAGGAGAAGGGAGGGGCGGGGGGCGGTCTCCAAGGCAGGTGGGCAGCAGGCGAACGAACCCGGGCCTTGGCCTGAGCACCTGGATGGTGGGTTGCCTTCCAGGGCTGGACGGAGTGCAGCGCCATCGACATGAATGAGTTCTATCGTCACTTTGTCCCCGGAGAGGAGCAGGAGAGGATCCGGGCCCTGGAGCCCTTTGATGAATTTGAGGTATTCTCCCCACCACCACCCCACTTGGGGCCCCAATCCTGCTCCCTCTCTCCTCCTCCCCTTGACTATGTCATAATCATTTTGCCTTTGCAAAATGGATATCCCCAGGCCCTGCCCTAGCCATTGGAGAGGTCCTGTCTGCACATAATAATAATAATAATAATAATAATAATAATAATAATAATAATAATAATAGTAATACATCGCACAGTCCTAGACGCTTGGGAAGGGTTCGACTTGTGATTTTGTGATATGAAATCCAGCATCTAGATCTCGTTTGCTGTGACCTGACTCCCTGCACAAAATCCAAGACTCCAAAAGCTCACTTCTTCCTCTTCCCTTGAGAAAGAAGCCCCAAAGTATCTAGAATCATGCTTTCCTATAGCGTGCCTGACACTCTCCATAGGTACACACTCTCACCCCTTCCCATGGAGCAGAACATGGTGGGTGAACCAGACTCCTCAGGTCTGCCACACTTTGAGCATTATTAGACTGAGTCTTTTATAGGAATATTCTGCTGATGTCGTCCCAAAGTTGTAAATGAATGATAAACGCCTTCCATCCTGGATCCATCTCAGTTTCCTGGCCTGATGTTGATCCTTCTTGATAGGTGTTGATCTTATGTTGACTTCCTTCTTAACATAAGGAATGTTGCAAACATTTCCTTAACTTGAAAGAACCATTGTCCGAGTTCTTATCAATTCTCATTAGCAGGTTTTGATCACAGTTCCAGCAAGCAAGTTGTTAGTCATTGCAGGCCTTAATATTATACTGGTGTCTCCAAAATTATTAACTCCAACCGCACACACCCTTCCATCCTTCCATTCATCCCCACACATCGTATTAAATTAGTATTTGTCAAATCTGCACATTGATTTTCTTGTGACATGTGCATGGCTGCCGGACCCTCCCTTTGGACGTGGCATGCGCTTGGGGAGGGAGGGAGGGAGGGAGGGAGGAGGGCCTGTCCCTTTCCTCCTCCCCTTCTCCCTCACTCTTTCTTTCTCCGCAGGAGTGGCACCTGAAGTGCTCGCACTATTTCATCCTTGTGGCCTCGAAGGGGGAGCCCCTCTCTCTGGCTTCGGTTTTGTCTGCCTTGGAAGGTAAGCGCTTTTGCTCCTCCTGGAGGCTGTGATGGCAGATGGGGTTGGTGGGCCTCCTGGGAGCTCTGACCTCTCCACTGCTGTGCTGAAAGGAGGAGGAGGAGGAGGAGGAGGAGGAGGCGGGGGAGCAAGGGTCAAGTCAGAGTGAAGTCCTGTACTGTGGACCCTGTGACCTGAAAAGGGTCTTCTTCAGGTCGTGTGAGCGACCTGATTGTTACTTTGCAGCCTTGCTTCTTTGGGAGTTTGAGGAGTCACACAGAGGGCTGTGGCAAGCAGGAGGGCTTCCCTGCCTGTTTATTTATTTATTTGCAGTATTTATATTCCTCCCTTTTCACCCCACAGGGGGCTCAGGGTGGATTACAGTGTACATATACATGGCAAACATTCAATGCCATAGACACACAACATATATAGACAGACACACAGAGACTATTTAACATTCCAGCTTTTTCGTGAGGGTATTATGGCCACCAGGGGAGCTGTCGTTTCACCAAAATACTAATGAAGTACTTCCTCATTCTTTGATGCTTGCTGGAGATTTTTATGGCGTCATAAATTAGCCTCTCCGCATAAACAGTACCTAAATTGTATCGTCGAAGGCTTTCATGGCCGGAATCACTGAGTTGTTGTAGGTTTTTTTGGGCTATGTGGCCATGTTCTAGAGGCATTCTCTCCTGACATTTTGCCTGCAACTATGGCAAGCATCCTCAGAGGTAGTCTCACTCAGGGTAGATCACAATGTACATATACATGGCAAACATTCAATGCCATAGACAGACAACATATATAGACAGACACACAGAGGCTATTTAACATTCCAGCTTTTTCATGAGGGTATTCTGGCCACCAGGAGAGCTGTCGCTTCACCGTCCATTTAAGACACTGATGGGGTACTTCCTCATTCTTTGTATGCTTGCTGGAGATTTTTATGGCGTCGTAAATTAATTATATTAGCCTCCCCGCATAAGTGGTACCTAAATTTCCTACTGGATGGATGCAACTGTCTTTTAGGCTGCAAAGGTAGACAGGAAGATACACACAGTGGTCGGAAGCTCACTCCGACCCGGGCTGGCTTCGAATTTATGATCTTTTGGTCAGAGGTGATCTTAATGTAGCTGACTCCCAGCCAGCTGTGCCACAGTCCCGCCACAGTCCCTCCCTCCCTTCCTACCAGGCTTGCGTAGTGCAGAGCCAGGCCCTGACACAGAGCATGCTAGCCACCATGAGCATGGCTGTCTCAGCGCTAGGTACTTCTCTCTTGATCTGAAAGGAATGCTTTGCCTGTGGCAGGGAGCAGGGCCCAAGCATGGTCTTGCTCCCTTCCGGCCACATTTGTTGTGACTCAGCTGGAATCGCAGATTGATAGTGTCAATGATTCTGATGGGGATGATGGGATTCAGATTCATGGTCAGATGCAAAGCAATGATGTTCCTTTGTTAGATGAAGAAGACCAGGAACAGGGGGCAGAAGTTCAGTTGTTTCCCACAGCCAGGGATGATGTTGTTGAAAGTGAAACTACTGAGAGCCAGGTGCAGGATTCAGGAAGGCAGGACGGTTCTCAGCCAGATAATGAGGAAGAAAGCACTAACGAACAAATTGACCTTGATGAGGCCGAAGCTTTAGATCAAGCTGATCGCTTGGAATTTAAGGTTCGAAGGAGTGTGAGAATCGCTAACAGGTGAGAGAGGGAGGCCAGGGGCGGATAGTATTACGGTATATTGCTTTAAGCCCAGTGTGTGTGTGTGTGTGTGTTAAAGAAAGCCTAAACAGAAAGGCCTTGCAAAGTATTAATGATTAACTGCAGCTGCAGAATGCTAGCTAGGCCACACCTTTTAAATGTAACAATTTGAGGCTTGCGCAGACGGCTGGCAGTTGGAAGTTTGAATCGCTGGAGAGAAGAAGCAAGAAGCTGAGGTTATGGTGAAGTAACCATGTTTTATTTTGTTATGCTCTATGATTTAAAACACCGAAGATTTATTCTGTATTACTTACAGTGACTATGTAAGTGTGCCAAACTGTTTTATTTTTCAACTCTGCATCCAAGAGTAAAGTTCTACTGTTTTATTTCTTCTGACTGGTCTGTGTCTTTGGCATTGGGTTTTTGGGCATATTGGACATTGCTACTGCGCAACAAATTGACTCAGCGCAACAGATAGTAACGCCTTCATGTTGTCCAAAGAGTATTAAACAGGCTGTTTGAATATACCCCAGTGTCAGAGCAACTTCTCGCTTCAACCAAGACACCGAGGATTTCTCTTGCAGTGTTCATGTTCATGCTTTCAGGACTTTGTCACGTTCTCATAGGACTTCACCTTGCCTGTGTCTTCATGGATCCTGTTTCCCTGTTTTACCTTGTATTGATCTTTGGAATTATACTTTTGCCTTTTTGAACTTTTTATCTTTTACTTTAATAAACCATAAAGAAAACTGCAGGCTACTTCAACCAGAGAAGTCAGCCCTAGCAGAGCACCTGAGGAACCAACCTGGACACAGCAGATTATTTGAGGACACAGAAATGCTGGACCACACCAACAACCACCATGTCAGGCTACACAGAGAAGCCATTGAAATCCACAAGAAGCAGGTGGGCAATTTCAACAGAAAGGAGGAAACCATGAAAATGAACAAAATCTGGTCACCAGTATTGAAAAACTCTAAAATTAGAACAGCACAACAACAGAGAGGAAACAAACAAGGACATCTAATCACCTCTCAACAAAAGATTGCTTTAGAAAAAAAAATCCAACCAATGCTCCGTTCAGCAAAGGACAAGAGGGATCCTCTCACTTCTGCAGGAGTCGACCATGTACCATGCACCTGTGGATAAGTCTCCAGAGGGACCACCAAACGCAGCAGCATTGCCCAAGCACGAATCAAGGAACATGAAAGGCACGACAGACTCCTTCAACCAGAGAAGTCAGCCATAGCACCCGAGGAACCAACCTGGACACAGCATATTATCTGAGAACACAGAAATGCTGGACCACTCTCACAACCACCATGTCAGGCGACACAGAGAAGCCACTGAAATCCACAAGAAGCATGGGGACAATTTCAACAGAAAGGAGGAGGCCATGAAAATGAACAAAATCTGGCTACCAGTATTTAAAAACTCTAAAATTACAACAGCAAAACAACAGAAAGTAAACAATCAGGCACACCACCTCTCAAAAAAACATTCCTTCAGGCACTTCCAAGCCATCAAATGCTAATCAAGGTGGTCAGTTGAAACATTCACACCTAGCTCTAGCAGACAAAAGTCCTTTGTCCCACCCTGGTCATTCCACAGATATATAAACCCATTTTCCTACTTCCAAACAGACCTCACTACCTCTCAGGATGCTTGCCATAGATGCAGATGAAACGTCAGGAGAAAATATGCCTTTAGAACATGGCCATATAGCCCGGAAAAACCTACAACAACCCATAAAGACAACTGCCTGTGTGATATTTGGTGTCTTAAGCAAGGTGGTTTTACTCTGAGGTGCGACAACATTGCTCTGAAGCTGTGGCACGAGGGGGGCCGAGGGGAGGCAGTGCCAATGGCCGAGGTGGCTTTCAGGGGCGTCTTGAGCGCCCATCTACTGCTGTGAGCCTTGCTCGTTGGAGTCCTCTGAGGGCCGGCTCCGGCCTCCCTCCTCCTTGGCCTGGTTTCCCACCCATCTGCTGACACCATTTCTTCTTCTCTCTGCTCTCAAGCCCTTCCGCCTTCCTGGGAGCCTACCTTTGCTGGGACGATCTCTGCCTCGGTCTTCACAACAGAGACAGGAGCCTCCGGCTTGAGGCGCTTTGGCCATCGCTCAGTGCTGCTCACTCCGCAGACGGTCCTGACCGCTGGGGGCTTTGGGGACCAGGAGGGGCGCCACTGCCGCCTGACGCAGCTGCACCTCCTGAGGAGGAGGAAGAAGAGGCACTCGCCGCCAGAGGAGCAGGACTGGGAGGGCCGAGCTCTGTGCCTGGCGGACTCCGGAGACACTTGGGGTGAGCAACGGGGCGAGGACCACGGAGTCGGGGGCAGGCCTGGCCTGTGGGACCCTCCCTCAGTGTGGCTGCCTCTTGCTTTTCCCAGACGGACGGCTTTTCCACTCGCTGACGCTCCTGAAGGCCGGCTGGGTCCTCGTTCTCGGGGGGCGGAGGTCCCCAGCATCCCCCGCACTGGACGCCTGTCGCCTGAGTGTGTCGGGAAGCCCTGACGAGGACCTCATGTCCGCTGAGCTCTCCCACCTGCCGCCCATCCAGGGCTTGGACGCACCACGTTGGAGGCATTCGGCCACTGAGGTTGAGCATCGAGGTAGGAGGTGGGAAGGGAGCAGGGCTTCCCACAGTGACCCTCATCCTTACAGCCCCCCGATCCTGTTGTGGGTTGCACAGGCAGGCCAGTGGGCAAGACGAGGCTCCGACGGCTCATGTTCCTCTCCTGCCCCTCGGACCCTGACTGCATCCTGGAGGGGGAAGTAACAGGGCCAAGGGGGATGTGAAGCCAGTTCCTTGCTCTCTTCCAGGAGAGACCTACCTCTTCGTCTACGGCGGGTGCAGCTCTGGGCAGCGCGTTCTGGACGACTGGCGCTTCCTCCACCTGGAGAAGATGCAGTGCCACGAGGTGGGGAGCAGGGACGGGCAGGGCAGGCCTTCCGTCGTCCTTCCTGGGGAGTGCCCTTGTCTCAGGGCTCTGTGGGTGGACCGGGGGTGGGGTGGGGGGAGGGCTGGATACCTCAGCTGCTGCCTCATTCCCATCTGGGTCGATGCTCAGCAACTTTAGGGCAGCGCATGTGCTGACTCAGTTATCCCTACTTATACCTGGTTTGGGGCTTTGGGGGAAGCAGGGAGAATAGGTATGTGCAGCATGTCATCTGGCTGGGGGATGGGGGGAATTGGCCCTGGGTCCCACAGCTGGCCCCGCTTTCTAGTGGTCCCGGCAGAGTGGCCAGGTCGGTTGGCAACCCGAGCAGCGGACCTGGCCACAACAGGCCTTTTCTTGCTCTTCCCTGCTTGCGCTGCCGGATGCTCCTTGTGCAAGAGTTCCCACGCACTGGCCCTCACTCACCTGGGCATTCCTGGATGGTGGGCCTTTCTCCATGTCTTCCTGCCCAGACTTACCTGTGGAAAGCAGTACGTCCCCCTTAACAGGGGGGCTTGGTAGCTGATCTCTCACAACAGCAAAGAGGGAGGAGACTTGGTGAAGTTGGGGAAGCAAGAGGCTTGGGTTGGCTAAGGCAGTGGATCCTAGAATCCTAGAGTTAGACCTGGTGGGCCATCATCCAGTCCAACCCCATTCTGCCAAGAAGCAGGAAAATCGCATTCAAAGCACCCCCAATAGATGGCCATCCAGCCTCTGTTTAAAAGTCTCCAAAGAAGGAGCCTCCACCACACTCAGAGCCAGAGAGTTCCACTGCTGAACAGCTCTCACAGTCAGTGAGGAAATTCTTCCTGATGTTCAGGTGGAATCTCCTTTCCTGAAGTTTGAAGCCATGAATGGAAGGAGGCAGGACTGGAGGTCCTCTTCCCGTGGGGCTTCCTTTGGGGCCTGCAGTGGTCCTAGAAGAAGGGCAGCTGAGGAAGGAGGAATCAGGGGGGCCCCATTCTTCCTCACCTCACCTCCCCTTCCTTTCCCTTTTTCCCTTCTTCCCTTCCTTCCCTTAGGTTCCTGTGGAGGGTCCCATGCCAGCCGGCCATCACTCGCACAGCGCCTGTGCCTGGGAGGGAGGGGTGCTCATTGCCGGAGGGCTGGGAGCCGCTGAACAGCCATTGGGCTCCATCCTGTTCCTGAGGCCGGTTGAGGGGGGCTTCCAGTGGCAGATGCTGGAGACCTGCCCCCCACTCATTCCCAGGTAAGCTCCCGGCCAGTCCAGAGGATTGGATGGTTGAAGATGCTGCAGCTGCCGTCATTGTCCAGGGAGGTCAGTGAAGCAGCAGAGAGGCAGGGCCATGGGTCAAGAAGCCCCTCTCCTGTCCCCCTCCCCATCCCCACATTCTCACGGCCACATCCCTGCCTGAAAAGCTTAGACACAGGCCATGCCTTCATTTGCCATGCTTCCTGGCCCTTCCACGCTGAGGAAGAGGCCTGTCACGTCCTGATGCTCAAGGCAGCTGTGGGATAAGATGGTGGTACTCGGGAGTTAGAACGAACACCTGGGTGGGTGCCTCTGTATTAACTATCATGAATAACTTTCCCACACTTTAAAGCAGAGGTTCTTTTTATTGCAATTTCCTGGGTGAGAGGGGACATCAGATTACAGAAAAACATGTAGACATACAGATTCTATGCAACTACATTGGAGATTACAATTACATGGCTAACAAGCAAAGGAGAATTACATTTTCAATCACCTTTCACACACATGTACATGCATCCATCACCATGCATCCAAATATGACCATATCCTTTTCTCCCTCCTTGGAGAAGCACCTGTTAGGCCAGACTCTGCTTTCCTGCAGCCTGCCCATAACACCAACACTTCAAAACTCCAAAATGCATCCCTTCCCCAAGCACAATGCCAAAGACCAGATCTCTGAATTCCCTACAGCGTAACCTGACTCCCAGACAAAATCTAAGTCTCCAAAAACACACTTAGAATCATAGAATCAAAGAGTTGGAAGAGACCTCCTGGGCCATCCTCCAGTCCACCCCCCTTCTGCCAAGAAGCAGGAATATTGCATTCAAAGCATCCCTGACAGATGGCCATCCAGCCTCTGCTTAAAAGCTTCCAAAGAAGGAGCCTCCACCACACTCCGGGGCAGAGAGTTCCACTGCTGAACGGCTCTCACAGTCAGGAAGTTCTTCCTAATGTTCAGACGGAATCTCCTCTCTTGTAGTTTGAAGCCATTGTTCCGCGTCCTAGTCTCCAAGGAAGCAGAAAACAAGCTTGCTCCCTCCTCCTCCCTGTGGCTTCCTCTCACATATATATACATGGCTATCATATCTCCTCTCAGCCTTCTCTTCTTCAGGCTAAACATGCCCAGCTCCTTAAGCCGCTCCTCATAGGGCTTGTTCTCCAGACCCTTGATCATTTGAGTCGCCCTCCTCTGGACACATTCCAGCTTGTCAATCTCTCTCTTGAATTGTGGTGCCCAGAATTGGACACAATATTCCAGGTGTGGTCTAACCAAAGCAGAAAGAAGCCTCAAAGTGATCAGACTGCTCCCTTGCAAATCTGCCACTCTCAGAATACACCATCTCTCTCCTTCCCGTGGAGCAGAACATGGCGGGTGTGTCAGGAGTCAGTTTCTGACGGCATGAAGACATCACAAATTCCCTCCATGACATTCTGACTGAATCATCCTGACTGAATCTATTTATTTATTTACTATATTCTCTCCGTCACATTCTGAAGGCGCTGGAAGCCTTGTATTGGAACTTGTGAAGCGACAAGTTCTAATAAGGAAACTGAGCAGAGGGGGGAGATGGGCAGGAAAGGTGTCTAAAAGGAAGTGGTGGTGGGAAAAAGTCAGTAGTGTCTTTATGTATTGTCGAAGGCTTTCATGGCTGGAATCAATAGGTTCTTGTGGGTTTTTTCGGGCTATAGAGCCATGTTCTAGAGGCATTCTCTCCTGACGTTTCGCCTGCATCTATGGCAAGCATCCTCAGAGGTAGTGAGGTCTGTTGGAATTAGGACAATGGGTTTATATATCTGTGGAATGGCTGGGGTGGGGCAAGGAGCTCTTCCCTGCTGCAGTTAGGTGTGAATGTTTCAGCTGATCACCTTCATTAGCATTTGAAGGCTTAGAATGAAGGAACATGAAAGGCACTGCAGACTACTTCAACCAGAGAAGTCAGCCATAGCAGAGCACCTGGTGAACCAGCCTGGACACAGCGTATTATTTGAGAACACAGAAATGCTGGACCACTCCAACAACCACCATGTCAGACTACACAGAGAAGCCATTGAAATCCACAAGCATGTGGACAATTTCAACAGAAAGGAGAGAGACCATGAAAATGAACAAAATCTGGCTACCAGTATTTAAAAACTCTAAAATTACAACAGCAAAACAACAAAGAGGAAACAACCAGGCACAGATTAACACCTCCCAGCAAGAGATTTTCCCAGGCTCAGGCAAGCCTTCAAATGCTAATGAAGGTGATCAGCTGAAACATTCACACCTAACTGCAGCAGGGAAGAGCTCCTTGCCCCACCCCAGCCATTCCACAGATATATAAACCCTTTGTCCTAATTCCAACAGACCTCACTACCTCTGAGGATGCTTGCCATAGATGCAGGCGAAACGTCAGGAGAAATGCCTCTAGAACATGGCTCTATAGCCCGAAAAAACCCACAAGAACCTAGTGTCTTTCTTTGCTGCAGTGATACAAGCAATATATCCATTTCAAAGCAAGCCTGCTTGTGAGTGGTTATTTGCTATTGCTATTTCGATCCTACAGTCTGACAGGGTGAACTAGATTCCTCAGGTCTGTCACAGTTTGAGAATTATTAGAATTATTAGAGCCTTTTATAGGAATATTCTGCTGATGTCGTCCCAAAGTTGTAAATTAATTATAGACATTTTGCATCCTGGATCCATCCCAGTTTCCTGGCCAGATGTTGATTCTTCTTGATTGGTGCTAGCCTTGTATTGACTTCCTTCTCAACATTGTAAACATTGATCTTATCACTGTCCCAGTTCTTATCAGTTTTCTTTTCAGTTCTTATTAGCAACTTTGATTACAGTCCAGCAAGCAGGTAGTCATTGCAGGCCTTCAAATTTTACCGGTGTTTCCAAAATTATTAACTTAATCCATACATCCTTCCATCCAACTCATTCATTCCCACACATATCAAATCCACATTTATCAAATCTGTACATTGAATTTTCATGATATTAACACTGACCACAGCAGTCCTCTTGTTCATATTCTTTACTGTTAAAGTTGAGGAGAGGGGCAGCCAAAGTGCCTGAAGGAGAAGGGCTCCTGCTGAGGAAAGAGGAGGGGTCCCTGGCCTGCCTCCCTCATGCAGCCCAGCTGGTACCCCCCCCCCTTCTAGCACAACCCTCCAGTGACACGCAGCCATTGGCTTGATTGGGGAGTGCGGCTCAGGGGAAGAGGGTGGGTGGCCGTATCCTGGCATCCTGGGTTGCCCTCTGTGCAGCCGCTGCTATGCAGCCTCTCTGGTGCCGCAAGAAGGCTTCTCTCCAGTGGCATCTCACCCTTCAGGAGAGGCTCAGCCAAGGAAGGGACCGCTTCTGCTCCCTGCGTCCTTTGGTGCTTCCCACTGGTGCCTGAAGGTCTCCCTAGTGGGCACTCTGTCCCTGTCTCTACTGCCTGATTGTAGGAGAAAGGGCTGGTGGGCTTCCATGGCTCATGTGGCCAAAGGAGAGATTGTTATGCCTTGGTGGCAACCAGAGAATTGGAGGAGAGGGCACATCTGCTGGGAAGGGTGCTCTTGAGGGTTGGTGCCCTTGAGCACCTCCAAGGGGCCCTTCTTCCTGGCACTGAGCCTACTTCTTCTTCCTCCTCTTCCTTCCTTTCTCCTTCCCCCTCCACTAGGTACTCCCATACGGCCCATGCACACCGGGGGAAGCTGCTGCTGGTGGGGGGCATCTGGCTCCAGGCCCCTTCCGTGCCTGGTGTCGCGGTGGTGGACCTGGCCACAGGGCAGGCGGTGGAGTACAGCATTGACACGGTGAGTGGGTGAATGGTGCTTTGGGAGGGGAGGGTGCTTCCCGCTAGTTCTGGTCCACTTGCTCCATTCTCCTCCTCTAGTCCCAAGCATATGTCTATAGGCCTGAGTGTGGAGCGGCCACCCTTCCCTTGCCCAGCTTCTTGACCACCTGGCTGTGTTAGAGACACTAAATTGGGTCTTCTTAGGTCCACATCACGGAAACACGTAAGGAAGGAGACAGTCCCAAAAAAGATCAAAAAACAAGGTTTATTTTAGTTTCTTCATGAAGAAGACGGACAGCCTGGTAGCATACGCAGATGCTACCCTTCAAGTGACTGCCACGTCCCCTTGGCTTTTGACCACCGATATATAACCTCAAGTAAACAAGAACATTTTTTTGTCATGGAAAGTACTCTCTTTCCAGCCCCCCTCCCTTGACCTTTTGATGGAAACTACCTTCTGCGCTTAACCACAACCTTTGAACTTAACCACAACACAACTTCCGACCTCTACATGTCACATCTTGTTTCTTAAAAACATTTTCTTCCGTGTTGCTCTTTTTCTACAGAGAAAGGGTATATTTTTCTGTTAATTTCATTCAAAGCCCCTTGCTTAGCATTTGTAAATTTCACTCAAAGACCCTTAGAGCTTGACCTCAAGTACCAACAGCAAGGCACCTTCATTCCTGTCACCGGTGCTATGGAGGGTGGGAAGGGACGTTTAATGCTCTTATTTATTTATTTATTTTATTTACTGTACTTGTATACCGCTGTTTCTCAGCCTAACTGGCGACTCAACGCGGTTTTAATGTAAGCCACTTTGAGTCTCCTTGAGGAGAATGAGTCTGGAAATAAACTGGATGATGATGATGATGATGGGGATGGGCTATCCTCCACTGGCTCAGCTGAACTGTGGAGACCCAGCAAAAGTGGGCAGAAGAGCCAAGGAAGTCGTGGGCACGGTCTTCTGCAGGAGAGCGTTGTGCAGGTGTGCTGGGGAGTGTTATTTATGCATTTATTTATTTACAGTATTTATATTCTGCCCTTCTCACCCTGCAGGGGACTCAGGGCGGAACACAATGTACATCCACACGGCAAACATTCAATGCCATAGACACATAATATATATCGACAGACACACAGAGGCTATTTAACATTCCAGCTTTTTCATGAGGGGATTCTGGCCACCAGGGGAGCTGTCGCTTCACTGTACATTTGTGACACTGATGAAGTACTTCCTCATTCTTTGCATGCTTGCTGGAGATTTTTATAGTGTCATAAATTAGCCTCACTGCATAAGTGGTACCTAAATTTCCTACTCGACAGATGCAACTGTCTTTTGGGCTGCAAAGGTCAACAGCAAGCTACACAAATTAGTCAGAAGCTCACTCCGACCTGGGCTGGCTTCGAACTCATGACCTTTTGGTTAGTAGTGATCTTAATGCAGCTGCGCCAGTCACAGTGTTGGACGTTGAGGCAGAGTAAGGCCATGGGGTGGGTGGCACCATGGTCCTTGCTGACCTCTTCCTCTGCTGCGGCTTCCCTAGTTCCCACTCCTGTGACCCCGTCGGTTCTTCCACAGGCTCCTCTCGAGTGGCCCCTGATGCTCCACGGCCACAGCAGCGTCTTCTTGCCCAAGGAGGAGGCGGTGCTGGTCCTGGGCGGTGGTGGCAACTGCTTCTCCTTCGGCAGCCACCTGAACCGCCATCCGGTCCGCCTGTCCCTGGGCTTCCTCTGGGCCGTGCGATGAGGATGTGTCCCCCTTGGATTCGGACAGCGTCTCTGGCGCCCTTGACGAGAGATGGGCTGGATTTGCAAAGGTGGCCTGCTGCGTCCGTTTCCGGAGTGCCATTCGCTCCCCTGCCTGGGCCGTCACCCAGAAATGGCCGGCGCATGTGGTGCTATCCCAGGACAGGACTTGTTTGGCCTTGCTGGGTGTCATGAATATTTTTATAACAAAGATTCTTTTTATTGCAATTTCAGTGTGAGAATTTATTTATTTATTTACAGTATTTCTATTCCGCCTTTCTGACCCGGCAGGGGACTCAGGGTGGATTACAATGCACATACACATGGCAAACATTCAATGGCATTAGACATACAACATATATAGGCAGACACAGAGATAGTTGGTTGTTCTAGGTTTTTTCAGGCTATATGGCCATGGTCTAGAGGCATTCTTTCCTGACGTTTCGCCTGCATCTATGGCAAGCATCCTCAGAGGTAGTGAGGTCTGTTGGAAGTAGGGAAAATTGGTTTATATATCTGTGGAATGACCAGGGTGGGACAAAGGACTCTTGTCTGCTGGAGCTGGGTGTGAATGTTTCAACTGACCACCTTGATTAGCATATAATGGCCTGACAGTGCCTGGAGCAAACTTTTGTTGAGAGGTGATTAGATGGAACATGAAACGCACTGAAGTCTACTTCAGCCAGAGTAATCGGCCATAGCAGAGCACCTGATAGAACCAACCTGGACACAGCATATTATTTGAGAAGACAGAAATGCTGGACCACTCTCACAACCACCATGTCAGGCTACACAGAGAAGCCACTGAAATCCACAAGAAGCACGTGGACAATTTCAACAGAAAGGAGGAAACCATGAAAATGAACACAATCTGGCTACCTGTATTAAAAAAAACTCCAAAGGAGCCTCCACCACACTCCCTCCGGGGCAGAAAGTTCCAGAGAAATTTACATAGTCTTTGTAATTACCACAAAACAAGGCATCTTCATCTTAAGTCAAATGAGAAAGCAAAACATAAACCTTGAGCAAACAGCGATTCCACCATCGCCTCCTTTAGAGCAGCATAACGGCTTCTCTCCAACCTGCTCCTCAGAGCAGAGCCTTTGAGCACAGATCTCCTCAGAGAAAAAGCTCTCCAGAACTGTATTCTAAAAACTCATACAGTCATACCGTATCGGGTGTGGTCCAAGATTGCTAGTTGACCTACATTACCAGCTGCACATAATAATTAACATCATAAGGTTTTTCTTCAACACACACACACACACACAAACACACACACAGAGAGACTTGGTCCTGCTACAACTTACTGTAACAGATGTTTTATTTAGATTTATATTATATAATTTTAAGTTTAATTTACTGATGTTAGGCTTTAATTGGAGGTTAGGTTTTAATGTTACTTTCATATTTTCAGAGTGCGACAGAAGCTTCGAAGCTTAGAAGAATGGACACTTTGAGACTTCAGTAAAAGCAAACATATAGCTTTACGGAGTAGAGCAAATATACAGCACACACTCGCATTGACATCCAACCAACCAGACAGGAACAAGACAAAAGAACACTGAAGTAAGAAGGACGAACGAAATCTTATTTCTGGATCCTCCCTACGTGTACCTGGCACACTCAGGGTCACAACTTCACAGTTCATTAGCGGCTTGACTGATTAACCCTTTCAGAGTCCATACACTCTCTGCTGATGCAATTAGGTTACATTCACAGGCATAGTACAAAATTACATTTAAACATTCACATTACATTAATCTTACATTAACACATATGTGGGGTTTTTCTGGGATTTTATGTTAGTATTGTGTGTTTTTATTTAGGCTTCAAATGTTTGCCATTGTTATTTTTTTATTTATTTACAGTATTTATATTCTGCCCTTCTCACTCAGGATGGAGTACAATGCACACATACACGGCAAACATTCAATGCCGTTTTTTACATACAATACAGAGGTCATTCAGGAGTTTCTTCCACTTCGGGTCCTGGAGGTTGCTCAATGCAGCCATAGGGAGAGCTGTCACTTCATCCACTATGACACCAGGCCTTTTGATTGTAGCATTTCCTCCTTACTCTCCGGCATTTTTATAAATGTCATAAATTAACCTCCTCACTTTAAGCAGTCCTTAATTTCTCTACTCACAGCACAGCTGCTTAGGTGAAGAGTAAGCTGGGCTATTTAACAGTCAGGAGCCCAACCCTGACTCAGGCTTCAAACTTCAAACTGTTGGGGTTCAGCCTGAGTTTGAACCTGATTCTCTGTTTGTACCTCCTGATGCTAATGAAAATATATTTACTGATGCTAGTGGAAATGTACTTCCTGATGCTAATGAAAATGTACTTCTTGATGTCAATGATCCTGAAATTAGTGACAATGCTCCTGAAATTAGTGAGGAAGCAACTTCTGTAGATTTGGAAAATGAAAGTACCAGTGTTCATGAGAATGTTTCAGAGGGAAGCCATGACCTTTCACTCCCTTCTGCACCTGGGAACCTTAATGAGAATAGAAGGGGCCAGATCTGGCAAGACAAGAGTAAATCACTCAGCTTGCGAAGGTCTTCCAGATTAAAAGAAAAACAAACAAGGACTTCAAAGCAGGGAGGCGTATCACGAAACCAATTCCTTGGCTTTAAGTGCCTTCCGCCGGGCTGACTTTCTCAGTTCAGGCATCGTTTTAGATTGATGAAGACCTTGGCAGTTCTCCCGGTTCCTCTGGCCATCGTCTTGAGAGATTTCTAGGACACCAAGTACGGTTAGTGGATTGCTAACAGGTTCCAGTATTTACAGTGTGGCTTTGGGTTTTTGATCTTGTTCATGGACATTCATGTTTGCTGATTTTGCTGTGGCTTTTGACTTTGCATTTTTCCTTTATTTTGTAACCATTTTTTATCAATGAAAAAGGATTGTTTTTTCCCAGTCAAGTGTGGTGGATGGTTATCTTAGGGCCTCATTTCCTGCTCTGGGTTGCAACATCACCTTTCATTTGGCAGTGATTTATTGCAGGTGATTAACCAGCTGTGTTAAACCGCTGAGCTGCTGAACTTGCTAAACAAAAGGTTGCAGGTTTATAATAATAATAAAACTTTATTTATACCCCGCTACCATCTCCCCAAGGGACTCGGTGCGGCCTACATGAGGCCGAGCCAACAACACATCAATGATAAAAGCAATAATAAAAGCATTAACAATCAATACAAAAATTAAAATAAATCTCATAGACAAAAATAAAGAATTGCATTAACAGTAGGACAACAAACATTTAAAACCTAAGGCTGGGCCAAATGTAATAATTAAAATTTAAGAAATAAAGCTGGACACGAGCAAGGTGGAATATAACTGGGATAGAGTTTCAGAGAGAGATGAGGGTGCACATGCAATCCTAAATCAATGATAAAGTGCGTTTAAAGGACATATTGCCAAGAGTTTCCTTATTCTGGGATGGCACACTGGAACAACCATGTTTTCAGGCTCCTCCTAAAGACTGCCAAAGTTGGGGCATGTCTGATGTCCTTGGGAAGTGAGTTCCAGAGTCAAGGGGCCACCACTGAGAAGGTTTGAATCCAGGGAGCAGGGAGAGCTCCCGCTGGTAGCCCTACCTTCTGCCAACCTACCAGTTTGAAAACATGCAAATGTGAGTAGACCAATAGGTACCGTTCTGACGGAAAAGTAACGGCAATCCATGCAGTCACGCCGGCCACATGACCTTGGAGGTGTCAACAGACCACGCCAGCTCTTCAGCTTAGGAATGGAGATGAGCACAGAGTCCCAGAGTCGGACACGACTGGACTTAAAATCAGGGGGAAACCTTGACCTTTACCTTTATCTTAACCTCCAGGATGCCAGTTAAACCGAATTATCGTCACAAAACGATGTATGTCGAAAAAGGGTATCAGCAACATGAAAAGTTTGGAAAACTCTCTTATAGAGAGTGTCTCTGGGGCCAGATACCACTGTTCTCTCCAATGTGAATTCCGTGTCTACGTAGACTTCAACTCTCCAAGAAGCTCTTTTCATATGCCATAGGGTTTCTCCCCAGGGTGAGTTCACTGATGTGAACCTAGACCTGAGCTGCGCCTGAAGCTTTGTCCACTCTCTAGGCATGCATAGGGTTTCTCCCCAACGTGAATCCTTTGAAGTGTATGTATACTTCCATTCTGAGTGAAGCTCTCTCCACTCCCTAGGCATTTATCAGGTTTCTCCCCAGTGTGAGTCCTTTGATGTCTATATGTAGATTTCCAGTCTCACTGAAGCTCTGTAGACACTCCAGGCATGCACAGGGTTTCTCCCCAATGTGAGTCCTCAGGTGTGTGTGTAAATCTCCACTCAGGGCAACGCTCTGTCGACACTCCAGGCATGCACAGGGTTTCTCCCCAGAGTGAGTCCTCGGATGTGTGTGTAGATCTCCACTCAGGGCAAAGCTCTGTCCACACTCCAGGCATGTATAGGGTTTCTCCCCAGTGTGTCTTTTGATGTGAACGCAGGTTTTTACTCCAAGCAAAACTCTTTCCACACTCCAGGCATGTATGGGGTTTCTCCCCAGTGTGAGTCCTTTGATGTGAACGCAGAAGTGAACTCCAAGCAAAACTCTTTCCACACTCCAGGCATTTATAGGGTTTCTCCCCAGTGTGAATCCTTTCATGTCTACGTAGACCTCCATTGTCAGTGAAGCTCTGTCCACACTCCAAGCATTTATAGGGTTTCTCCCCTGTGTGAGTCTTTTGATGTGAACGTAGGTTTTTACTCCAAGCAAAACTCTTTCCACACTCCAGGCATGTATAGGGTTTCTCCCCAGTGTGAATCCTTTGATGTGAACGTAGAAGTCCACTCTGAGTGAAGCTCTGTCCACACTCCAGGCATTTAAAGGGTTTCTCCCCAATGTGAGTCCATTGATGTTTACGTAGATGTGAACTCCAAGTGAAACTCTTTCCACACTCCAGGCATTTAAAGGGTTTCTCCCCAGTGTGAATCCTTTGATGTGAACGTAGACTTCCATTCTGAGTGAAGCTCTGTCCACACTCCAGGCATTTAAAGGGTTTCTCCCCAGTGTGAATCCTTTGATGTGAACGTAAACTTCCATTCTCAGTGAAGCTCTGTCCACATTCCAGGCACTTAAAGGGTTTCTCCCCAGTGTGAGTCCTTTGATGTCTACGTAGATGTTCACTGCTACTGAAGGACTGTCTACACTCTAGGCATGTATAGGGTTTTTCCCCAGTGTGAATCCTTTGATGTCTACGTAGAATTCCACTCTCAGTGAAACTCTTTCCACACTCCAGGCATTTATAGGGCTTCTCCCCAGTGTGCGTCCTTTGATGTGAACGTAGAATTCCACTCTCAGTGAAGCTCTTTCCACACTCTAGGCATGTATAGGATTTCTCCCCAGTGTGAATCCTTTGATGTTTACGTAGATTTCCATTCTCAGTGAAGCTCTGTCCACACTCCAGGCATTTAAAGGGTTTCTCCCCAGTGTGAATCCTTTGATGTCTATGTAGAATTCCACTCTGAGTGAAGCTCTTTCCACACTCCAGGCACTTAAAGGGTTTCTCCCCAGTGTGAGTCCTCTGATGTGATTGTAGATTTCCACTGTGAATGAAGCTCTGTCCACACTCCAGGCACTTAAAGGGTTTCTCCCCAGTGTGAGTCCTTTGATGTGAACGTAGAAGTTTACTCTGAGAGAAACTCTTTCCACACTCCAGGCATGTATAAGGTTTCTCCTCAGTGTGAATCTTCTGGTGTGAACGTAGAGTTCCATTCTCAGTGAAGCTGTTTCCGCACTCCAGGCATTTATAGGGTTTCTCCCCAGTGTGAGTCCTTTGATGTGAATGTAGATGATCACTCCGAGAGAAACTCTTTCCACACTCCAGGCATTTATAGGGTTTCTCCCCAGTGTGAGTCCTTTGATGTGAATGTAGATTTTCACTCCGAGAGAAACTCTTTCCACACTCCAGGCATTTATAGGGTTTCTCCTCAGTGTGAGTCCTTTGATGCAATAGTAGACTTGAACTGTGGGTGAAGTTTATCCCACATTCCAACCATGTGTATGTTTCCTCCCCAGTGTGAGTCTTTTGATTCAAATGTAGACCTGGACTTTGAGCAAAGCTCTTTCCACACTCCAGGCATTTGTAGGGATTCTCTCCAGTAGAAGTTCTTTCATGCTGCTGCAGATCATCCCTCCAAGTAAAATTCGTCCCACACTCCAGGCACTTAAATGCTCTCTCCTCCATATCAAGAGTGATATGAGTGTGTAATTGTTATTCGGATGCTTGACTCTTCGTATTTTCCTTTCTTATCTGTGAGTTCAAGAATTCTGCAAGATCATCACCTTGAAAGGACTTCTTCTTATATTATTGGTTCTTTACTGCATCTAAGAGGTAGCTGCATGGAATCTTCATTTACCTGGTTAAGAAAGAAGTGAAAGGTTATTATTATTATATTGATTGTGAAAGCCATCCACTACATGGCTGCCAGCCTCCTCCCGGTAGACTCAAATCAAGCAAAAGCCTTATTTATTTATTTATTTATTTATTTGATTTGTATACCGCTACTCCCAATTTGGCTTGGAGCCAAATTTACAGAAGTAGATTAAAACAATACAATTTGCTTTAAAATAACAGTAAGAAGCGAGAAACAGACATCACCCCGAGTTATTCACCTGTCAAAAGCTTGTCGGAAGGCGAGTAAAGCCGTTATGAGAGGGAACTTTATACAGCAGAAAATAAGAAAGAACAAAGAAAAAGATGGAAAAATGAAAAATCTACTTAAAGGAATAAAAGAAGAAGATAAACTAAAGGCCAACCCAAGGGATAAAGAGGCAAAACTAAGATTAGAACATCTACATAAACAGAGAGAATTCATAGAAACAGAGGAAAGGGAGAAGGAGCTAAGATACATGAGACAGAATTTCTTTATGAATGCGAATAAACCGGGAAGATGGCTCGCAAACAAAATAAGAAAAAGAAGGGAGACAACATATATTACGAAACTGAGAGATAAAGAGAGGAATATAACCCAAGAAGAAGAGATAAGAGAACAATTTCATGGATTCTATAAAAAACTGTACCAGGAGGAAAATATAGAAGAAGAGGAGATCTACCGCTACCTAACCAATCATAAGATCCAAAGAATTTCAGAAAAACAAAGGGAAAGCTTAAACAAGGAAATTTCAGAGAAAGAGATTAGAGAGGCGATAAACAAATTAAAACCAAATAAATCCCCGGGACCAGACGGAATGTCGGCAATGTACTATAAAACCTTTCAACAGGAATTGGCACCTTACCTAAAAGAAATGATGAACAGAATAAGAATCTACAAGGAAATCCCAGAAACATGGAAGCAGGCGAATATATGCTTGATACATAAAGAAAACTCAGATGAAGAACAAGTAAAGAATTACAGACCAATCTCGTTGTTGAACGTAGATTACAAGATCTTTAGTTTGATTATGGCAGAAAGATTCAAATGGGTACTCAACGAATACATAAAGGAAGAACAGGTGGGTTTTCTACCCAACAGGCATCAAAATGAAAATGTGAGGACGATTGTGGACCTGATTGAATTCTATGAAAATAATCACCAAAAGAAAGTAATGCTACTCGCGCATTACTCTACTTGGAGAGAAAAATTAAAATATTGCCATGCCATTGATCTGAAGGAAAATTGGCTTAAGACGGCACATAGATGGTATATGACGCCGAAAAAATTAGGGAAGAGCAATAGTGACACTAGCACAAGGTGTTGGAAATGTAAAGAAAAAGAAGGCTCGTACTTTCATACATGGTGGACCTGTAAAAAGGCGAAAAATTTTTGGAGGGAAGTTCAAAAGGAACTTCAAGAAATACTACAAATTAAAATACCTTGGAAGCCAGAATTATTTCTCCTAGGGATGCACGATATGAAAATAGAAAAGAATACAGATAAGATTTTGTTTCTGATAACAACAGCAGCAAGAATAACTTATGCCAGAAGATGGAAACAGGAAGACACGCCAGACGAAAACGAGAGGCTGACAAAAATCTTGGAAGTAAGAAACATGGACCGGCTCACATTTCTAATAACAAGAAGTAAAGGGATACAAATGAAGGAAACAAACTGGAAAGTAGTGATGGATTACTTTAAACAAAGGAACAAAAAGATCCTGATGTAAATGAGGAAGAGATGGAGGGAAGGAAGAAGAAAAGAAAGAATACGAGGAGAGAGGAAGAGGAAGGAGAGGGGAAGGAGGCTATAGGAACGATGGAGAAGACCCTGTGAAAAACCCCGGGAAGTTGAAAGCAAGAAGTTATTCTTTTTTTTTTCTTTTTTTTTCTTTTTCCCTCTCTTATACGGGCTTTGGGGCTTTGAATCTTCTCTTACTATATCTCTATATACTTCCTTTCCTATCCTATGCACTATATCACCTCATATTTCGGAGATAAGACATACACATTTTTTTTATATATAGTTCTTTTTGGTAGCCTTGGCTACAAACTATATTTTAAATGTACGCTGAAAAACTGAATAAAGATTATTTGAAAAGAAAAAGCTTGTCGGAAAAGAAAGGTTTTACAGGCTTTTCGAAAAGTAATTGAGTCGCCCCTGGGCTGAGAACTGCGTATATAAGCAAAGTAAGTAAGTAAGTAAGTAAGTAAATAAAATAGATCTCAGATAGTTCGGGTTTCAACAGGCAAGGCATGTTGAGAACTGCCACTCCTCTTGGCGTCCCCCCAGCAACAGCAAGAGCTTCCCTCTGGGCAGCTAGACCAGGAAACCCCAACTGGATGGCCCCCCACGTGGGAGGGTCTTTCTCGAGGGGCAAACCAAGAATGGGCAACTTGGAAGTCCCTGAACAGACTCAGAAGTGGAGTGGGCAGATCAAAAGACATCCTGGAAAAATGGCGCGACCTAAAAGAATCCCACACCTTATGTGACTGGGGAGCAGAACAGACAACTCAATTCTCCACTTCTCCACTCTGCCCTGCCTCATGTACAGAGGAGGAATTTTTGGAGGCTACAGACAATGCTATTGCTGTTGTCCATTCTTGGTCAAAAGATATTTAGCCACCTGCGCTCCTTTATTTTTATCGGTTTTATACTAATTTATGCAATGCTTTTGATACGAAATAAATAAAATTATATTGACTTTTAGCCTGCTTTATCTCCCCTCATGGATACGCAAAGCAGCTGAACATAAAACATCAGCATACAATTTAAAACATAAAATATGCAGACATTAAAACAGAATTAAATATAAACCGTATTTAAACATTTCTAGATAAAAACCATTAAAACATACTCAAGGTTAAAAACCACAACACACCCTGAATTGATCTTTACAATCTTCTTCTTTAAAAGCCTGCCTGAATAAAAAAGTTTTAGCCTTCTGCAGTAAGGAAGACAGCAAGGAGGGGGCCATTTTGGCTTCCTTGAGGAAGGAGTTCCAGAGTTGAGGGGCAGACACCGAGAAGGCCCTCTCTCTCATTCCCACCAACCAAGCTTGAGATGGAAGTGAGACCAAGGGAAGGGCCTCTCTTGAAGATCTCAGTGACCCGGCAGGTCCTTTCAAGGCAGAGACATCTCCATCTCATCCCCTGATTTGGGTATCAGCCAGCACGTCAACGACTTAAATTTTGAAATAGTGTTCTAAGATCTACAGAGACACTCGCTGGAACATCTCAGCAAGCGAGAGTCCAAAAGTGGCAGGCTCAAACCCAGAACCTCAATCAATGGCTGATACCAGATGAGAGACTCCCCCCTGAGCACACAGAGGACTGGGCGACTTGGAAGGCGCTGAACAGACTGCGCTCGGGCACCACGAGATGCAGAGCCAACCTTCAGAAATGGGCCCACAAAGTGGAATCCACGACATGCGAGTGTGGAGAAGAGTAATGCAACCTGAGCCCTGCCACATGCACAATGAAGGACCTTCTTCCGGCAACACCAGAGGAACTCCAAGTGGCCAGATACTGGTCACAAAGGGCATGTAATCAACTACCAAACTCACAAATTTGTATTTTGTCTGTTTGTTTGCTTTGTTCTGTTAGAAATGTAATATAATTGACTGGTTGCCCTGACACGACAAATAAAATATACCAGGCAGGTCCGTATAAGGCAGTGTTTCTCACAGTGTTGCTACCCTTGGGGGGCAGCAAGGGGGCTTTCAGAGGAGTCGCCAAAGACCATCATAAAACAAATATTTCTGATGGTCTTAGGCACCCCTTTGAATATCTCTCTGCCTGTCCTTCTCTTCCTTTGTGGTGTTGGTGAACTACAACGTCCAGAATACTGGTCAAAGGATATTTAACCAACTACCAAACTCACAAGTTTTGTACTTTTCTGTTTGTTTGCTTTGTTCTGTTAGAAATGTAATATAATGGACTGATTGCTCTGACACGACAAATAAATAACGTCCAGAATTCAAAAACAGACCCCCCAAACCCCACCAGTATTCAATGTTGGCCATGTAGGTAGTGTGCCAAGTTTGGTGCAGATCCATTGTGGGCTGGGTTCAGAGTGCTCTTTGATTGTAGGTGAACTATAAATCCCACTCAGATCCATCGTGAGTGCCATTGGATCCCCCGCATACGACTTGGTAAAATTTTTGGCTGCACACACAACCCGTATTGGGCTCACTACGCACAACATCAAGGACTCAGCCCACTTCATAGAGAAAACCAGCAGCCTCAAGCTCAACACCAATGACAAGCTGATCAGTTTTGATGTGGTGTCTCTATTTACCAAAGTCCCGCAGCAGACACCACCACGCTCATCAACCAGAAGTTCCCAGAAGACATCACAGCCTCTTCCACCATTGCCTCACCACAAGCTCCTTCCAGGAGGACAATGATTTCTATGAGCAGAAAGAGCAGAAAGAGGGAGTAGCCATGGGGAGGGAGCCCTCTCAGCCCCGTCATTGCCAACTTCTACATGGAACACTTTGAAAAACAGGCCCTGGAAACAGCAACAAAAAGCTCACATATGTGGATGACTCCTTCACCATTTGGAGCCATGGAGAAGAACTCAACACATTCCTGAACCTCCTGAACAGCATCCGCTCAAACATCCAATTCACCAAGGAAAAAGAAAATGAAGGAAAACTGCCATCTCTGGATGTCCCAGTCATCCACAAACCAGATCAACAATTGGGTCACAGAGTTTACAGAGAACGTACACACACGGATAGATACGGACGCCAAAACTCCAACCATCACCCAAGTCAAAAAAGAAGCACCATGAAAGCCCAGGCAGACCGTGCAAAAAAGAATCTGCAAAGCCCTCCTCCTCCAAGGAGAACGGAAGAACCTCAACTGGGCTTTACAGGCCAAAGGAGACTCCACCACAGGCATCAGAAGAGCTGCAAGACCGAGAACAAGCCATGAGAGTCAAGACCAAGATCATCCCAGAGGAACCACTGACGGCAGAGGGAAGCTGATGAGGAAACACAACCTACAAACTACCTGCAGACCCACCAAGGAAATCCAGCCAGTGC